CGCCCCCGCCTGGGCCTCGGCCCAGCATCCCCCGAGAGGGCCGGTCCCCACGGGCTGCGCCTGGGCCCTCTGGGGCCGGAACGAGATGGGCAATAGTCTTTTTGCGCGGCCTCTTTAAAATCAACAAAGTGACCGGCCTGCCCTCCCCACTGCTTTTGAAAACAGCCGAGGAGGACATATGGGAGCAATTAACCGAACTGAAGTTTCGGTGGATGCTTTAGGGTGGCCCGTGTGGCTTTCTTAAATTTTCTCTGCCTTACTCAACCACACACACACACACACACACACACACACACACACACACTTTTTCTGAAGCCCGAATGAGCTAAGGGACATGGAAGGCATAAGGAGCCCTCTCGGCGGCTGTCTTTTCTTCCCCGAAAGCAAGTTAGGAACCAGCAGGGACTGGTAAGATTAACCCGGCGTCTCAAAGAGCTGGGGTCTGCCTCCTTCGACCGCTCCAGGCTGGCTCACGTCCTGCTTGTGTCGCCGCTGGGAGGGAGATGGGAGGGGAAAAGAACACACAAAGATGCTATTATTACGATGGTTAGTGGCAGGAAATTCAACCCCGAGTTCCCAAAAATGTTTTGTTATTCCCCCAGCAAAGCAAAAGCCAAGGTATGGCCTAGGGATTCCGGAGTCCTGGGTTCTCCAAATTCCGCCTAAGGGGCTCAACCCCTTCTAAGGCAACCTCCATCAAGTAAAAATCAGCCAGAACTCTGGCCTGTGTGACCACCAGTGAGAATTGTGCACCGGTCTTTCCATCGGTGTGCCTGGGACAGAGAATACAGAAGTTGCAATAAATGGATTTATTGGCAACCCCTAACCTTGCTGTGGCAAACCCGCCTTTAAAGACAACTGTGTTTTAAACAAGTTCCCTCATAAAAACTTCAACCTCACGCAGAGCTAACCAATGTAAAGGTACCGGCAGGAGAGATGTCTATATTTAAAGCTCTTAGGAAAATGGACTGAAGAAAAATACCACACAAGCTCTCCATATAAATAAAAGATGACTGAAAGATGCTGCATTTTTCTTCCATAGTTTCAAAGGCCTGATGATAACCATGTTGATATTTGAGCAGTAAACATAGCAACCTCCAAGTCTTCCTGAAACAAGGCAGGATATGTGTATTTAAAATAAAACACGTATTAAACCCGAAAAATACAAACTTATCAAATAAACTTATTAGACGACTTCTTTCTCCATTTACAAATGGCTCAATGCTGAGAAATACAGTAATGTTTTATTTAATTAGCTAATCTTGAATTGAAATCTGTAAAAGTTACAAATTTTTCAACAGCAGTACAAAAGCCAGATAGCAACCGTAATGATAAAAGAATGGCATAAACAAAAGACAAAAATTCCATGGTAGACTAATTAATCTGAAATATTGAGATATAAGAGAAATAGTCCTCAGGAAACAGACTGGTACATTTTCCTGTTTCAGATTTGTTTATCCTGGACAAGAAATATAAAACATGCAATTTATCATTCATCTCACCTTCTGTCTTTGGCTCTTCTCAGCTCTATTTCTAAATTTTTTATGAAGTTGTTTGGTTAAGTTGGACTTTGAAGGCAATAAGATGTGCACCCCCCCCCACCCCGCAACTCTCTAAGTAACAAGTAGAAAATCTCGTAAAGTAAGTATGTTAAGTATGGCATCATATTTAAGTTGAAGTTATTTTTAGTTGAAAAAGTTTTGTCTTTCTAGTTCCAGAAGTCACAGTCACTGAAGAAGTAACTTCATCACTGCCTCGTTAGGAGTGTTTAGCATTCTAAACAGGCATACAGCTAGCAATCTGAAATTTGTACACAGAAAGGCCCTGTCTCCTCTTCTTCCTGTAGTGTTTATATAATCCCAACTGCATATGTTATTATGCACAATCTGATCTCCAGCTTTACATAGCTAATATTACATACAGTATGTTGTACTAAGAGCATCAAAGCTGTCTTTAGCTGTTGGTGAAAATAGTACATTGTATAAAAGACAAGACCAAAAACACAGAGGAAAAAAAAAAAAAAGCCTTATGGGTGAGGGAAAAAAAAGGACGAGGGAGGGGGTTTCCATTAAGATCAGTTTTATAAGAGAAAAATTTGAACATTTTTAAGCTTCTTAATATGAGAAGTATTAGCTGAACACCAGTTCAAAAAATAAATTTTAATGCTTTTTAAAAATCTGCTTTTTTGGTTTAAAAAATAAAAGATGTTTTTAGCTGTCAGATGATGGTTTGTTTTTATTTGGAGGTAGCAAGGAGAGCAAGCATCACCTCTTGCTTTTTCTGGGATATCCACCTATTGATTGTTTTGTTCTGTTTTGTTTGTTTGTTTTTTGGAGAGGTTTTTGCTATAGGGCGCGTGCGCTCCCCAGACAGACAGAGAGAGACATAGAGACAGAAAGCGAGAAATCACCCCCCAGGGGGGATGGTCACGCCGCAATCCCTTTTCCTCCATTCTTCTCTCAGGATCTTGGGCACACGAGTTTTAAGCCACCGGGTTCAGGACACGAACCACGGTCGACTATGTGGGAGTCCAGTGACATAGCCATTAAGCTAACTGCTGGTTTCCTCCACCTATTGATAGTTTATGAAGCCCAGTCATTATACTTGTGTTGAAACCTGCAGAAAAAAAAAAAATGGAAGGGAAATCTAGATCACATGAGTATTATATGCTACACACATTCTCCAAATATACAAATAACATAGTATATTCCATTTTTAAATTTTTCTCTCAGTATGCCAGCAATGTAGTTTTCTCAGTAGACTGAAAGAAAGCAGTAAGTAGACTGGTTATTTTACTCACAGTTTACTGCCCAGGGCAATGGACTGAAGCCTGCATGAGAAAAGAATGTGCCCTGTGAGCGCTAGTATGCTTTCTCCCTTGCTGGGATTCGTAATCAAGCCTAAGTCAGATATTATGGTGCATGTAGTATAGAATACATTGTGAGGATTAAGTGTTTAAGACAGTGTAGTAAATTCAAAAACTGAGACAGGACTTACATTTTAAAAATCGAAGGCAAAGTAGGAAGTCCAGATTCAAGATAATTCAGCATACAAACATTTTCTTTCCTTTAGCGGAGGTATTGTTTAACATTTTCAGGATTCGTTCTCCTTTGGTCCATTCATCTTTCCTCTCCCTTTTCCCATTTGGGGAAGAGAAGAATTTTGGAAGGCATGCAGAGTAATAAATTGGTCATAGTTAGATGTCAGTTGAGGAAAACAATAAAATCACATAGCCCTACACAGTCTCTGCATGTGTAGTGATCCACGGTCAGATGTGGGCTAAGAGCAGACATTTGCCTAGGATTATGGGAGGCCGTCGTGGTACACATTTAGCCAGGAAGTTAAATGAAAGGAGTTGTGGGACACATCAACCCTCCACAGGTCTAGTGTTAGGCCTGCCAGTAGTGGAGAAGCTCATCCAATATGGACTAGCGTGTGAATTATTTAAACCAACAAGTAATCTACTGAGGGAAGAAAGCAGAGCGACAGATTCAGAGGTTCACATTTCCATATAATAATATGGGGATAGCTAAAGTTCCAGCATCTGGTTTAAAATGACATGCCATCTAATTTTGTTTCTCTTCTCTTTTGTTCATGATAGAGCTCATTTGTGTGCATGCAACAGTAAGGGAGCAAGAGAAGCACCCTCAATAGGGTCCTCTAGTTCTCCAGCCTATGCCAGCCTGGGCACTTCTAGGCTGATGTGTTTTTCAGGCCAACCAGACCAGAGATTTGAACCACATAACCATACAGGGTCCAGCTTTCCTTATCCAGGGCTTTGCTGCTGTGTCATGGAGCCAGCCCTGACTAATATTTTAAACATAGATTTAGTCCAATTTTCTGGTCGTAAAATGGTCTACAGAGGGAAGTGGATATTTCCCTTGTTCAGGAAGGGTAAAGTAATGCAATCAGGTAGTAATGTCTCCAAAAAACATTGAGACTAGTTAAGATAACATAAAAAGAAATGCACTGTTAACTTTGAGTATAACCAATGCACGTTAATATTTCTACCTTGGGAATGTAGCTTCCCTCTTTCCAGCAAGTTGTGCAAGAAAAGGTACTGAAACTGAAGTCATCCTACCTTGATTCCAGTTCTGATTTTGGTACTTAATGTTTGTTATTACTGGCGATTCATTTCATCTTTTAGAGCCTCAGTTTCCTAATTTATGAAATGAGGATAGCATAGAATAGCACCTGCCTCACAATTTTATTGTAAGATTAAACAAAGTAAGGTGGAAAACACTTTAAAATATAGAAAATGCTCTATAATAGATAAGCTTTTATTTGACAGTAAGCCATGGTTTTTCCTCCCCATTACTTGAGAACACTTTGGTTAGAATAACAACCTAAAGGTATAATCAGTCTCTGTCTTTTTTTTTTTTTTTTTTTTAGTATTTTGCACCTTTATTTCTCTCTCTTTTTCACTTTCTTACTTTCTCTCTCTCTCTCTCTCTCTCTCTCTCTCTCTCTCTCTAACTTTGCTAGAGGGTGCATGAGCTCATCAGAGACAGAGCGAGAGAGAGAAGGAGAAAGTGAGAAAGTCCTCCCCCTGCAGGGGACAACCACTCTGCAAACCCCTCTCCTCCATTCTCCTCTTAGGATTTTAGGCACACACACATATGCACTCGATGTGTTGTTTTCCAGGCTGCCAGGTCCAGGACTCAGTGACACAGCTGGCTATGTAAGATCCAGCCATCTTAACCAACATGCCACGTGGCTAGCCCCGCATTTGCACTCTTAAGGAAAAGTGACTAAAAGATGATTTACTAGTGAGTAATAACTCCAATGAAGCTCTCAGAGACTCTTTAGAGGTAAATTGGCAGTTTTTTCCTCAAATACTAGCAGTCAGAAGTTAT